CAAAGATTCAAGTTCTGTACAGATATTGAACAGATTTTAACATATTAAAGAGGAATCATATGGTGAACAGAAAAGGTGGGAAATTTGTAAAATCAAATAAAAGCAATAAATGAAAAGAGTTACCAGTTAACACAAAACTTTACAAAATCTTGCATCAAGAAAAGAGAAAAGGAGGGTTCATGATCTCCAAAAGAGAAGAAACATTCTGCTATAAGGACCTACGTACCCAGCTAACGGAATGCTAAAGATGTCATTTCTATCACCTCATCTCAGATAGGAAAATATTCGTTTCAGCTACATTTTATAGTATGAAGAACAAATTGCCAGCATTAAATTAATTGTCGAAAATGAGGGCTTGAACCTTTTAGCTCATCCTTACAAAAATGAAATGAAATTTAAAATTTTAACTTAATTTGATGTCTCTAAATTTCAGAACTTTAACACTAATGTTTAGATGCTTAGATGCCTCAAGATAACGGTCCAATTAAGTCAAAAAACGAAACCAGTACCTTCAATGCCAACTTGGTCCAAGGAGAACGCCCGTGAGAGCTGTATCATTTTGGAGATCACAACAGCAGGCAACGTGACGGCCCCTAACAGTATACCCGACGAAGCACCAGGCCTGAAACAATGAAAATTACAATAATGCCCGCAGTCATCATCTGAAGAAGTTGAAGAACCCTAAGATTTAGAAAAATGAAAGAGGAGAGAAGACCTGGTGTTGAATTGGGCGAGGGAAGTGGAAGAGTCGGCGAGGATGTCGAGGGAGAGAGCGGAGAGAGCGAGGAGAGAGAGGGCGATGCCGTGGAAGAGGAGAGAGAGAGGGAGGGAGAAGAGGACACGACCGATGAACAGAAGCACCACTGCTCTCTCTCCGTTCATCAACCCGGCCATCGCCATCGCCATGGCCGCCATTTGAATTGGTAATCGTAGCTTGTTTCAGTTTTGAGACAATGAAATTGAAATTGAAATTGAAATTGATTGAAGAATCAAAGAAGAGATTCAGAGGGAGCTGTTCTTGTTTTGCATTTTGGGGGTTTTCGCGGGAATTGGGAATTGGAGCCCCTCCGTTACCAGCAAATACCAAGCCTCCATAGAATTCAATGGGCCAAGAATGCATGAGGCTCGCGCGTGAAAACTTGGAATATACGATTGGATGCCGTAAGGACTTTGGGAGGGGGGACCAAACCACACCAACGCGTTGAAACATCACCAAACTATTAATTTAATATTATGGCTTTTTTCGCAATGGACTTTGGAACTTTGGAACTTTGGACTATGACAAGGTCTCTTCTTGTTTCTTTTCTGCCAAATTTCAAATTCTCTATAAGTAAAATTCAACCTTCCAAAAAGGTGTTCGCAAAACAGCAAAAATGCAAACGGAGTCTAACGCAGTAGAAAAGAGTCTTAACTTATAGACCAATGTTCTTAAGTTCGAACACTATTACAACTTACAAACAATGCATTTGAAACCCTTATAAATTCTAAATCCGAAAACTACTAAACTCTATAGTTATGACTGTGTAATAGTCACCATAACATTTTTTTAATTTTATCTTGTTAGTCACAGAAAATTTAAAGTAGCATGTCTTGATTTAAGGAGCTGATAACTGCGGAGAATAGGAAAGACTTGGTATATAATTCGTGCCTTCGTTACGGCAGTAGTCCATTAGTAAGCGAGTAGGGGAACCGTTCCTTCCATTACATTCACTTATAGCAAAGGGAAGAACAAATATTAGCAAATATCCTTTGGTACTATGGCCTTCATCAAACTTTCTGGTCAAACAAGAGGCCCTTTCATGGTGCTTTTTTTCATTGTCGTACCTTGAGGAGAAATTTGAATTTTGTTTTGTATACAAAGTTGCAGACGTGACCTTTATTGCCATGGGGCCATGCGAAGATTACAAGCCTAGCTGCAAACCAATGGTGCCGGGAACATATAATCAGTCTAGAAAATGCTGGATCTTGCAAAGTGAGTGAAGCAGGAGAGAACTTATGTTACTGTCAAATTAGTTGAGATTGAGTGCATATATTATATGCCACAGATGAACAGAGATGGGATGCATACAACAACCCTAATTTCATTCTCATTGACACTACAAAAGAGTCACCCAGCATTCCTTAAAGTGCAATTTTTCTCTTATGAAAAACATAAGGAACCAATAACAGTTTCTTATATTAAAATGTGAGTGTAAAAATTCCCCGTTATAGCGACTTCTACAATCTTCATGTGATCGCCCGACTTATATCATGACACATAAAAATTCTATCCATGTGTATGAATGAAATAGAGAGATATATTGTATACAAGACGTCAACAGTTAGCCAAATCAAAAATACAAGATGTCAATTTTGTGAGATTTGGGATACTCATGGAAATTGGACACATGTGATTTCTTTCTCGTATTTGGATATGTTAGAAGAACAAAAATGAAACTTATTCTCAAATTTCAAATATGTTAAACAAATGTTGTCTCCTAAATGTATTCACATGTATGATGTAACACTACCAACTTGTTTACCAACCTTTGGATACTAACACATGTGGCATATGACATGGCATCCCCATGTCATCTGTTTTAATTACATAATTTGTTAAATAAATAAAAAGGAATTTCACACAGCAAAAGTAAAAACAGAAATAAAAAAGAAAGAAAAGAAACTCAACGATTTTAGATTTAGGGATACACTCATCCCTCTTGTCTTCCTCATTCCCTTTGAAAAACCCTAGAAATTCAACAGTTCTCCATTGAAGAACTAAAGCTCTTATCGCAGCAGTCTATTGGGCAACATAAATAATGGAGCAAATTTCAAGTTAATAAACATTCAGCAACAGAAAGAGAACATGTTTACTCAAATTTATATAGGGGCTCTGTTCACCACTTGTATCATTGTAATTCTTTTCATTTGAAAAAAAAAAAACCTATATGATATATACTTTTCAGACGGAGAGATCGCAATTGTTTGAAAATAATGATAATGTATATGTTGGGGATGGGGATTTCTGTACAAATATGAAGCCTATTTCTTATGTTGCATCCAGATCTGTCAATATGAACTCTCCTTTGTACATCAGGAAGTAGAGGAAAAGAAAAAGCACAATGAAAATTCATAAGAAAAATTAGAATATGATTCATATTAAAACATTCAATATGCAATGAATCATTCAATATGCTTCACTGACGATAAAGACAACAACGATAAGAGCTTAGTTCTTCAATGGAAGACTATTGAATTTCTAGGGTTTTTCAAGGGGAAGGAGGAAGACAAAAGGCATGAGTTTATCCCTAAATCTAAAATCCTTGGGTTTCTTTTCTTTCTGTTTTTATTTTTGCTGTGTGAAATACTTTTTTTCTTTAAAACAAGTTATGTAATTAAAACAGATAACATGGGTTGCCATGTCATATGTCACATGTGTTGGTATCCAAAAGTTGGTAAACAAGTTGGTGCTTGTACCGTTATTGATACTAGCCTCTCTGCAAGCGCTTCCGTGCCTGCGAGAGGTTTTTTTTAAAAAAATTTAAATTTATTTTATAATTAAAAAAGATAATGGGTAGTTGTGTTCCATAAAACTAGGATCCATTATCTGATTTTTATTTTTATTTTTATTTTTTTAAATATGAAAAAGTGTGAATTTACCATATTATCCTCATTTAATTAATAATTTCAATTCTTAATGTTTGCATTAACCAAGGGCATTTTCTGGTATTTTGAATGTTTCACCATTCTCTGCCTTTTGCTTTATATATATATATTATAAAGAGTTTTGTTTTTAGCTAGGAGATGTATCCAATTCATATTTATAAAGATTTTTTTTTAAGTGAGTGACTTTTTTTTTTTTTTTTGGTGAACAAGGGAGGGGTAAGAACCCCCAACAGCCAAAGAAACTAAACAACACAAAACATACGAGGTTTAGACAACCCCAGTAGGTCATCCACCAACACAGAGCCAAGCCAATCAGGAGCCTCATGAAGCAGATACAAACCCAAATCCAGGTTATGACTCCAACTAGCATTATCTGATTTTTCTTTTAATTTTAATTTTTTAAAATATGAAAACGTGTGAATTTACCATATTATCCTCATTTAATTAATAATTTCAATTCTTAATGTTTGCATTAACCAAGGGCATTTTCTGGTATTTTGAATGTTTCACCATTCTCTGCCTTTTGCTTTATATACCGTTATTGATACTTTAATAAGATGAGTACATAAGTTAGTATGACAAAAAAAAAATGATCCTAACAGATTTAGGGATTAGGAATTTGATTTCTTAAAGATTTGTGCAAAATCCATGTATGCTTTATCTTGATCGTAAGCTTTGAACTTTTAGAAGCCACATTTTGAGGGAAGATAAAGACACAAACAGCCGCTTGGCACTTTGGCATGCATGGATATTGTTATGCAATGGCGGCTAACTTATCCAGGAATTGGGGTATTTCCATTTTCAGGAAAAAAAACGAGAGAACCCTAAATGTCATTTGATCAAATAGTATTTAATTAGTGGAGACTAAACTGTCATCGGCTTATAACCTATTATCTTATCTTTAAATTTTATCTTATTAACCAAAATAAATACACCTATTAATCCAGTGCGTATACCTTATACCTATAGGATTAAGCTAGCTAATGTTTTTGAATAAAAAAACTAAGATTTTTCTTAGTCACCACAACACAAGATACCTTATAAGCTTTTATCCCTTTCACTTCTGAAATTGAAATGGGCTTGGGTTTTTAGATATTCAAATATCAATTTTGTAAAAACTCACTTGAAGACTTGAAAAATAGATGGTTTGGATCGTTGAAATTTTTTTGTTAGGATACCCTAAATGGTATCCTTCAATAGAAGGGAATTGAACAAAGAGCTTCAGTTGAGGATCCCTCAAATAAGAACTTGAGTAATAATTTGGAAATAGCTTAAAATTCAACATGAATTGATACCAATCATTATTCACTACTTGCTCTCGATCAACCAAAATGTATTTCCGCAAAGAAAGGCAAATTCAGTCATATTCTATTTGAGTCAAATCAAGGACCGTACAACTTGGGATTCATAACCTTAACATCCAAAAACCTAGCAAATATATATCTCTCTCCCTCTTTCTCTCTCTTTCTCTCTCTTTGCAACTCATCTTTAATTCATGCGTTAATGGCAGACTCAGTTCATAATACCCATCCCCAAAAGCGCCCTCACGCCATCTTCATCGCCTACCCTCTCCAAGGCCATGTAATCCCATCCGTCCATCTAGCCATCAAGCTTGCCTCACGTGGCTTCAAGATCACCTTCATCAACACCCACTCCATCCACCACCAAACCTCCAAAGCCCAACCAGACTCCGGCAGCGATCCCTTTGCCTACGTACGTGAGTCCTCCGGGCTCGACATAGACTACACTACGGTCTCAGATGGCCTCCCCGTGGAGTTCGACCGGTCCCTCAACCATGACCAGTTCATGGCTTCTTTGTTGCATGTGTTTTCAGCCCACGCGGAGGAGGTCGTTGGAAAGGTTGTTAAGTCTTCGGCTAACACCACACCGGTTACTTGCATAATAGCTGACACGTTCTTCGTGTGGCCGTCCAAGATTGCCAAGAAGTTTGGGCTGCTTTATGTTTCTTTCTGGACAGAACCTGCTTTGGTTTTCACTTTGTATTATCATCTTGATCTCCTTCGGAAGAATGGCCATTTTGCATGTCAGGGTAAGTTACTGCTATTAATAGGATAATGATGCGTAAATGTTGTCACCTTATCCATCTAGACCATTAATTGGATAGACATTTGACATATTGGTCAGACTCTATATGCTTTGTGAAGCGAATTCTTGTTTGAATGTGTGGTGTCCATATTATAGTATGATAATTTGATGCATGAATTTAGCAAAAGAACATTAAATATATTTGTTCTTTTGCCATGTATATTAAATGTTATGAAGTTAAACTCTCAATTTAAATCGTGAAATGACTCATAAACATATTCACATTCTAATAACATATTTACAATCTAGCCCAAAAATATTTGCATCATGTGCACAACGATCATATCTCTCTTACAGAGATGGGATCGACTTGCATAGTTAGATTCTACCGGAGACCAGAAAAATAGCAAATTCTACATGGGTTTCGCATTTATGATGGATATGCTAGCAATGTAGTCGATAAATGTGTGATAATGGCGGATTAAAATCTCTTGTTTGTGTTTATAAATTACTAAGATACATATATGATTTTGGTTTTCTTGTGATTAGATGTGCGCGAGGACACCATAGATTACGTACCAGGAGTGCGAGCAATCGAACCAAAGGACATGATGTCATTTCTGCAGGAGACTGATACAACATCTGTGTGCCACCATATCATTTTCAATGCATTCAAGGACGCCAGAGGTGCACATTTCCATCTGTGCAACACAGTGCAGGAGATTGAGGCCGAGACCATATCAGCCCTGCAAGCCAAGACGCCATTCTATGCTATTGGACCCATTTTCCCTTCTAAATTCAACAAGAATGTCGTGGCTACGAGCCTGTGGTCCGAATCAGACTGCACCCAGTGGCTCAACACCAGGCCCCAGGGCTCGGTCTTGTATGTCTCATTTGGTAGCTATGCTCATGTTTCCAAAAAGGACCTTATAGAGATTGCTAATGGGCTTCATCTTAGCAAAGTGAACTTTGTCTGGGTGCTTCGGCCCGATATTGTGAGCTCAAATGACACCGAACCGTTGCCGGCGGGCTTTAGAGAGCAGGTTAAGGACCGGGCCATTGTCATACCTTGGTGCTCTCAAAAGGCGGTCCTGACCCACCCGGCTATCGGAGGGTTCTTGACTCACTGTGGATGGAACTCAACGTTGGAAAGTATTTGGTGTAGTGTCCCAATGTTGTGTTTCCCTTTACTTACTGATCAATTCACCAACAGAAAATTAGTGGTTGACGATTGGAAGATTGGGATCAACTTATGCGATCGAAGGGCGGTCAGTAAAGAGGAAGTTTCGGAGAAAATCAACCGTTTGATGGATGGAAAATCAAGGGATGAATACAGGAAAGCAGTTGTCCAGGTCAAGAAGACATTGGAGGATGCATTGACACCCAACGGATCATCAGAGAAAAATATGGACAATTTTATCAAGGCCCTAAAGGCCAAGATGTGACTGTAAATATGGGCCTCTATGACCCAAAAGATGAAACTTTTTCCTTTCCAAACCTTGTTTTTTTTTTTTTTTTTATCTTTCTGTATATACTACTCCTATGTCTTTGTTTATTGGCTAAAGGTTTGGCTGCCTTAAAATAGATGTTGTATATACTCCTATGTAAATGAGGTTTGCATCTATTTTTGTTTTTACTTCAAAATATGCAGGGTTGCTTGCCTTGCCTATGTACAAAACTATGTTCCAATTTCAAGAAGTTACTGCGAAGGTGATTCTCCTCTCACATTAACTTTGGATGAAAATAAGCATGAACTGCAGATCCCAGCTCTGTAAAAATTTGGAACAAGAAGGAAGAAAGGGCTCCAAGAAGTTTGCAACAAAAGAAATAATCAGCAAAAGCTCCCTAAAATATGCACTTTATCATTTCATAGATCATAGCAGGTTCTAACAGCAAAATTGCACATGCCAAAGGACAAAAGGGAATTACAAAAATGTGACACCGAAACAACACTCATTGCAAGTGGCGACTTCATTCATCTTGCATTGTTTGTTGTATCCCGATTACACTTGAAAATGTTATGTATAGACTTTTTGTTCCCTACACGGAAGTACAGTACAACAAAAACGAGAATACGATACGCAACTGCCATTAGAAATAAGATCAATAAATTTTGCCACTTGGAATTTTTGTCCGGAGAGATGTCGTATGCACTACGAAGTGCCTGATACCCAGATATGGTCCTTACCTGCCCAACTGCAAAGGAAGTCCCTATGTACTCATTCTCCAACAGCCCCTATAACATGTGGTCAACAGATTAAAAACCATCAGTGAGAGAGGTTAAAATTAGCCAATTAGTTAAAGAATATGAAATATTTGAATTTCGAATGTGAAGAAGACTCTGAAATGCTTTTTTCCTTTGTCACAAAATTCGAGAAATTTGAAACTGAACCAAGTTCCCTGAAAACAGTTTTTCAGCATTGTTATGCAGAGAGGAAAAACAATTGCAAATGACATTGTAAATTCTCTTGCCTGTATAGAGTATGTATGGAAAGCAATATAGGATATTGGATATGTCCACACTGGCCCAGGCAAAGCATTTCGAATTCTGAAATACCCCGCCGATAGCATCATTACCACCTGAAATTTCACACACATTCACTGTAAGATTAGCGAAATCTAGGAAATTGATTATAACTTATACCAGCTATCAATCATGACCAGAAGAACAGCAGATGGATAATAGTTCACTAATATGTTACATGAGTCACTTTTATCACACACCGTGTCGCAAAACACCACAAGTGCCATGTATTTTGTGACACACAATCTAGGTTTTGGTTTCACAGTAGTATTTGTTCAAGTCCATACAAAATTAAACTATCTTCGAGCAGGCAAAAGCAGTATGACATGTAATAAATGTAAAAGTTCTTGTTGGGTTGCAGATGAGTCAATGCTGAACATGCTGACATTGGAAACTTCAAGTATATTCTTTGAATTGAGATAGAGGAACTTACTTGTACAGATACCAGAGTCAGGGTGCTCCAGAAAACATCTCGCGACAAAGAAACAACAACCAGCATTAATCCATCATTTACCAAGAGGCACATGAAGAAATTCAGCATGAAGTACATTAACAAGCTGAACTCATCTCGCAATCCTATAAGGAAATAGAAGACGACACTTGATGGAATGGAGATGAGAAACAGGAATGGGATGCTAGAGAGAAGCTGCCCAAACAAAAAGACTAGTGCCCCAAAATGGTGGTTTGATTCTTCACTTGTGTATACCTGCAGAATTCATAATCAGTTTGATCAGAAGAATCAAGAAAATGAACACAACATTACATTACTCATCAGCATGTCCTATTAAAAATAATGCATAAAAAGCTTAACCAGTTTTTCATTTTTGTTTTTTCTAGACTACTTTTGTATCTTTGGAACCGTGCAGTTCATGTGTTCTGTTAAATGTATATTGAAAGACTCATATAAAGCCATTCCACCTCTGCATTTCAGGGAATTGATGTATTGAATAACCATGCCCCAGTTTGCATGTGATCCTGAAGAGGCAGAGGGATCTTATACGTGAGCCTGGAAGACTTAATCACAGTCCAACAGCTAATGTTATTTCATAAGCTTGTCTATTATTTCCTTGAGAAAACCAGTCACTTAAAGTGGCATTAGTATACCAATTTTTTATTTTCTTATTATTATTATTTTTTTAAACCCAGAACTCCACTCTGTCAGCTTTGCTGACTCATCTTCCAAACTGACAAAGTGCTAGATAGGTA